AGATAGATAGATAGATAGATAGATAGATAGATAGATAGATAGATAGATAGAAATTTGATTATATGATTATTATATATATATATATGATTAATGATTATATGATATCTATGGTTCACATGGTATGTGAGAGTTAGTCGTGGCATAATTTACAACTCTTGCTCCAACAAAAGCCAAATGATTTTTTTTTTGAGTTGTAAAAAAAATACTTTATGCTTTCAACTTTTCCAGTAAAATATAACAATTTGATTCATAAGCACTTTTTTTCCACCAGCAAAATGTGGAGATGATCAAATCATTTTTAGCAGTGATAATAAACTCAGTCTTACTCAGAAGTAAAGGTTTATTACGTTTTATTTAATAATAAAACAAATAAGAATGTAACTTTACAGTATATTCTATATTCAGGAGCTGAAAGTTTTATGGCAATCTAAAAAAAAAAAATGTTTAAAATGTAGTTAATTATTGTAATAAGGATGAATCAATTCCAAAGTTAAAAAATAGGCATTCAGAGAATGAGCCCCGTTCTGTTGCAGTGCTTGCATTTCTATAACTGCTGACAAGATTCGAGTTGTGATCGTGCAGCTCTGTTCCAACGAACGTCTTAGCTGAGTTTGTCGAGGCACAACTCGAGGCTGGATTCAACCAGGACACTTTCTGCCACGGGTCCGGGGACTTTCCCCTGGGCGAGTAGGGAGAAACCAGGTTCTCTGCTTGTAGCCCAGATTGCAAACCTTCTGAATACCCGGATGTTACAGTTGACGGCAGTAAATTTATACACGGTGAAAGAAAACAAACATAGACTAACGGTGTTGCACAACTTCATGTGGTTCTGTAATATAGGCACTTTACAAAGACAAACCAACTTTGACCTTAAAACATATAAAAAGTGTAATTTGTTCGAAAACGTACATTAAAATTAGTTTTAAACCGTGAGGCATTATGGGAAATTTAAAGCCACAACATATTAAGCGGTGCTTTTTTTTATAAAGACGAAAAATGACTCAAATGGAGCGAAGTAGTTTTTATAGTTACTCATTATTATCAGTAATTACGTTTCTTCATTTCTGCCACTTTTATAGCCCGGCATAAGTGATCAGGAGCTATCAGCAAGAGAGATTTCACAGTAATGTTTAAAAATGTGGATCTTAAAACACATTATTATATTGATTATGGATTACCTAAAAAATGAATGAGCAAAATACCCACAAAGCTTTCGATGTTACCAAACGACAGTTCAAAGATAAAGAATGTTTTTAATTATTTGGCCAAGAGTCACGTGTCCGTGCTATGACGTGTCATATCCCAGCATGCACTGCTGTTCTCTATTTTAGACTCTGCTGAGTCTATTTTACACTTTATCATTTTATCACATTGTTATTAACCGAAGTAAATTTTCAGAACTCATTTTATTCTTTTTATTTTTATTATTTAAAAAAAAAAAAAAAAAAAAACATTGTAAGCATCGTGACTGAAATTGGTTACGTATTGGATGGTCTTATATAGCAGCCGGCCCGTGATCATTTCCTGTTGTGGGAGGAAGCTCACTGTGGAGATCACGCACGGAGTGCTCGTCACTCTACCAATCACCTCGGGGAAGGTCTGAGACAAGAGCCAATGGTTACCCTTGCAGGGTATCACCTGACACGGGTGAGCGAGCGAACAGAAAGCAATGGTCCGCTACGTGCAACCTCCTGCCGCAGGAGAAGCCAGGCGGAGCAGAATAGCTCCCCTGGTGGATGCGGTGCACGTGGGCTTGGAATCACTCGCGGCTGGCGGAATGAGTTCAATGTGTGAGGTGGAGCACCGCTCCTGAACCCAATTCAGACTACTCTCCCCCCACAACAACACTTTTTGTAAACATTTTTTATTTTTTTTGTAAATTATACCTATATTATTATATATTATATACTTTTCTATAGACATTTTTTCACGTAAAAAAAAAATAATATTAAAGAAATACATAAGTAAACAAGTACACAAGTAAATACACAAGTTGTTACAAAAATGCAACCAAATTGAAATTTATATATTATATATAATATAAAAATATAATATAAACAAAATATTGAACAAAAAGTAAAATCAGGTCATCTGGAAGCCATATAATGCTTATAGCATTATCTCTAGCTCTATCTTTAATCAATTTAATTTAAGTACTTCGATTGGGGTCGATTGTTCAGGAAAACAGAGTGTGGTTAAGAGATGAAGAAGGTCCAGACAGGATGGAGTGGATGGAAAAAAGTGATTTGCGACCAAAGGGTGGCAGCAAAAGGTCAAAGGAAAAGTTTACAAGGCAGTTGTGAGCTCAGCTATCTGGAGACAGTGGTATAAACAAAAAGATGGAGAAAGAATTGGAAGTAACAGAAATGAAGATGTTGAGGTTCTTCTTAGGAGTGGCAAGGATGGATGCAATTAGGAATGAGATCATCAGAGGTACAGCACAGGTTGAACAACTGGGAGATAAAGTTAGAGAGTGAGATGGTTTGGACATGTCCAGAGGAGGGACAGTGGTTATACTGGTAGAAGGATGTTAGAAAGGCAGCTGCCAGGAAAAAGACCCAGAGGAGGAGCAAACTTTGTTTGAGCTCGTCGTTTAATCCAGATCTACTCCACACACTGATATATACAAAAACTTTTTTTGGTTGTTCTGATACATTGTTTTTTTTAAATAATTTCCTTCTCTTCTTAAATTATAACCCCCATCTCTGTCACAAAACGTTTTTTGAATATTGTGTGGAAATTGACAGTTTCTAACTTTGAACATAAATTGTACAGTTTTGAATTTTATGAGGTCCCAGAATTTTAGTACATTTGATTTAAAAAATAATGGATTTGTTTGTTCCCAACATCCCACTTTATGTAATAGTCTGATTGCTTTTTTTTTTGTATTGTGTACAGTTTGTTTTGTATGTATGGCCTCAAACTTCCACATAATAACTCAAATATGGTGCAATGAGAGTATTATATAAAATAAAGATTTGTCATCCAGAACAAATCTTACTCTCCTCAAAACAGCAACACTTTTGGCTTGTTTAGATTTTACTTTGCAGATCTGGGGTTTCCTGCAAAATTTATAATCCATAATGACACCCAGGAATTAAATTTTGTGGACTCGTTCTAAATCAACACTGTCAATAGTTATTTTGATTGCACTGTTTTCATGTTTATTGTGGTTTCATGAATTTTGTTTTATCTAAATTTAGTGATAATTTATTGTTTTTGAACCAATGTTTTAGTTTTTAATTTTTTTTTCATTTCTGTTGTGACCACCTCAGAGAGTTGTTGGATGTTTTCTCCAGTGCAGAAAATGCTAGCACCATCTGCAAATACAATGTATTTTAGCAGGTTTGATACTTTGAATATGTCATTTTAAATTATGTCAAATAATTTGTCAAATTAAATTTTTTGGGGTAGCGATGCACCGATCCGATACCAAATATCAGTATCGGTCCCGATAAATAAATAAAAATTTGAACTTCTGGATCAGGTATCGGTGACAATGTGACCGATCCATGACTGGGCAGATCTATTCACTCTAATTCTATGCTTTGTGTTCTGAGTAATGTCATGCGCTAGCAAACTCATCGCACAGATTGTTTTCAAAATGGAGCGAGCGAAAGGATCAGCCATCTGGAACTATTTCACACTACCTCAGCCAACACATTCGACAGCTACGTGCAATATGTGCACAGCGACGGTTCCAGGAGGTGTCACTAAAACTTCCAATTGTAACACTACCAACTTAATCAAGCATCTCCAGAAATTTCACCCTAAAGAGCACGCTGAGTTTATTGAATGGAATTCAGCACTGTTTTTTGGTAACAGATCGATATAGGATCGGTATGTGCCGATACTAAACAAAGATATCAGTATCGGAGGTGGAAAAAGTGGAGCGGTGCATCCCTAATTTTGGGGCCCAACACTGATCCCTGTGGAACCCCCCAAGTTATATTTAATCATTCTGTGTGATTACAGTACCTATTTGTACAAACTGTTTCCTTTGTCCAGTGGAGCTTCTAATCCAATTCAATGCTACCCCCCTAATTCCATATCTTTCTATCCTTTTTAGCAAGATGCCATGATTGATGGTATCAAATGCTTTCTTGAGATCAAGAAATACACCAATTGAAAATTTCCTTTCATCCATATTGTCTATGATTTATTCTGTTAACGGCCTCATTAATGTTGATCTGTTTTTATGCTCATTTGTTTTATCTTCAATATTAAAAGGCTCATGATAATGTTTGTGTGTGTGTGTGTTAGCATGTATGAAACACTTGATGGACTGTTTAGAAACATTTAGAAGGTAATTACAATGCATTCACTTTAGGAGTCAACCCAATTCAAGATGGCCTCCACAGCCAGCTGACCATAAAAACACAAAAAATAACTATGAATTGTACGGACTTGAGTCAAACATTGGTGTAATAGCAACTGAGACCCATTCACAACAACCCTGAGCCTTGTCAGGACAGTGCATACGATATTTTCCACGTTTGACCAAAACGGCTGCATCTCAACACGTTGGTCTAAAACTCTGGCATGAGCAATGTACATTCTTTTGGGTAATTTTCATCCCCGATGGTAAATCAGACTCATTTTCTTACAAGAATTCAAGTGACGAGCTGTAGTGTGACACTTCTGTACCACTTGGAACAGATACCGGGTGATTAGTTGTTTTTAAAGCAGTTAGACGTGGGGGTCCAAACATCCCTGCAGACGCCTCGCTGCCACTGAGAAGAAAACAGCAGCAGGTGTGAGATCTGATGCAGCAGAAGAATTTATCTTCCTTCCTGCTTTCCTCAAAGAACGCCATCATTCACCTTCTGAAAGACTAAAATGATCTTCGTCGACATTTAGACACTGAACATTTTCTCAAATATTAGCTTCTGATTTACCTGGGGACGTGATGTGAAAGTGTGGTAAAATGTGTGTTTTGGACATTTCTTATGGTTTATGAAAAGAAAACAGTTAAACTGCACACACATTTTGCCCCGTGTGTCTGTTCTTTATCAATTAATTGGCTGTTGCTGTCGCTCCCTGGGTTTACGTGTGGTCTTCTTACCCAACCTGACGTGCATCAACAATTAGGAGAAGAAAGAAGCAGGTTGTTTTATTGAAACTGAATAAACTTCGTGTTTGAAGACTGAACGCTGAGCCTGGATTTATAACCGTCACAGTTAATATAAGACGTGAGTGTATCTTTCTATGGGCGCTCAAGGGCTCCAGCTGATGACACAGTGAGTTCATTTAGAAAGTTTTTCAATCTATCCTGAAAAATAGAAAGTTTTTTCTTCTTTTTGGTTTCATCAAATGGACTCCAAAGCAATTTCTTGCCTATTTTCTGGCCATATTTTTCATTCAGCTGAGAAGTTTTCGTGTGCCTTTATGTCTGTTAGCAAACTATCTCATAAGCCAGTGGATGAATTTTTATAAAACTCTACAGAAATCATTATTGGTTGTTGAGCTACAACTGATTAACTTTTGGAATAAATCTGATTTAAGATGGCCTCCGCAGTCAATCAACCTTTGCAAACACAAAAAGGTCTTTAACTCTGTCAGGTTTACAGATATTGACCTAAAGTTTGATGTGCTGCTGTCTAAGAGTTATCATCATTACATACTCCAAGTTCGGGAAAGATCGCAAGAAAACATGTTAATGCATGTGTGAGAATGTGTCTGTCTTGTTCTTTCTTTAGATTCGTTTCTCTCCGGTGGTTTTTTGCTTTAATGTCAGCTCTTTGCTTCACATGCTCCCAATCCCAATCACCCCAGGTGTTTGTCATTATGTCTCGTTAGAGTCCCTTTAAGTTCAGTGTCTTTGCGTTCACTGGTTGGCTGTGGATTGTGATTCCCACAGCTCTTCATCGGTCCTCTGTGCCTCCTCATGTTATTCCATTTTGTATGTTTGCTGCTGCTTTGGCCGTTTTGTTTTTTTCTTGTTAAATAAATTTTTTTCTTTATTTTTAATCCCTGAGCTTCCCTGTGTCTGTGTACATTTGGGTTCTAAATACTCAGGTCATGATAGCATGAATGCATTTTCAATTACTCACACCAACCAGTCCCGGTAATTCCCAAACTAGACATAAAAGACACTATGATAAATAAGTAATACACATTTTTTTATTGTCATCAACATGTCAAATGGTAATTCATGCCAAAAAAAAAAAAGGTCAAACAGCCACATAACTTTATATCACACATAAGAAGAAATGAAAAACACGGGGTTCACATTCATTCCTCATTTTTAGATTGAATCTACAAGTACCGGTTTTTTACAATTACATCAGTCTTACAGCTTCGTCTTAACAGGATGTCATAAAACACACAAAAACCTGACTAATTTTAAAATATAAACTACAATTTGTGTGTAAGCAACAGTTAAACTCTGATTTGTCACTACAAATGCAGAATGGCTTTTGAGTCTTACATCAAACAAACTGCACAATTATTGGGTGAATTCTTGTCCATCAAAGTTTCTGCACTTTAGTGCAAATCTTGTTTGTTTTAATAACTGCTGCTGATCTTATATTTTTACAAAAAATAAAACATTCAATAAATTTCTGTTTCTTACATGTAGGTCCATATTTCCTTTTTTCTTCTAAAGTGCAGGAGTAACAGACATCAACATTCTGAATACAGACCATAATTATCCAACAATGTTCAGGTGTGTGGGATTGGGCAGCAATTTAACCCCTTATTTCACAAACTGAGATCATTTAAATGGCTGTTTTGAAAAGTTAATGCATGGCAAAAACTTTTTTTTTCTTATATCCAACATATGTGAATAAATCTAAGACTTTTCAAAATAGTTGTGTAGAAACATTAGGTTCTGTGTTTCAAGAAAACCTAAAATCACATCTCAGATTGTGCAGATTATAGTAGCATTGTATGTACACTACCAAAACAAGAGGAACTACAACTAGCTGATTGCCAGAAAAATATATGAGCAGAACCTAAAATAAATATAATTTACCACCAAGAACAACTCTCTCGGCTCAAAGGTTAAAATAATAATTTTAAAAGGCTAAATATTCTGTTTTACATAAAGTTAAAAAAGCTAAACTTGTGCAATCAGGCTATTGGTGAAAATTTAGAAAGCTGCCAGTGGTAAAGACCTACCGGTAATCTAACATACGTACTCTGTTACATAAGTGAGTTTGTTTGTTTAGGTTATTAATTATTTTTACTTTTCAGAATATCTTCCAGAACTGGTTTCATATTCACCATCGTCCCAGTCAAAGAAAAAAAAAAAAAAGATTGGTTGTTGGGATGTCATCATATTGTTCTATATGTTGACTTTTTTTTAAAGATGACTGATGGCAAAGCTTTAAAGGAGACAACAAAGTACGTCAGCACAGGAAGAACAAAAGGAAACGTTCACTGTTTGTTTTTATCTCTGCTGAAATGTAATTAAAAATAATGCACAGATGAGATTTTACAGATGAGCGTTTCATTTATTGTGGCTTTGCTTTCAGTGTATCTATTTTAAAAGCTAGGCCTTGTCCACACAGGAGCACGTTTATTTCCCCCAAAACAATCTTCTGTTGTTTTCTTAGAGGGTTTTTTTTCATGAACAAAGCACCGTTTCTAAAAATGTCTTCATCCACTCCTCTATAGAAAACAACTCAAAATGCTGCAGTAGAAATGCCAGGCCTGTATGTGGTGCTGTAACGCTGCCACACCAAAAACAGGAAACAAGGCGTGGAGCGTGCACATTAAGCTCACACAAGGCGCGTCATCCTGTACAGTCTATGAACTGTAAACACAACAAGAAGAGTGGCGAACACAAGAACAATAATCAAGTAGTTTTTTTCGACTGAAGGGGAACTTTGTCCCACATTAAACTACAAAACCACATGGTTATTTTTCAACCTAAAAATTGAAAGTGTACTTCAGACATTCATATATCGTATTTTTCGGACTATAAGGTGCACTTAAAATCCTTTTAATTTTCTCAAAAATCATCAGTGAGCCTTTATAATCCGGTGCACCTTATGTATTAATTCTGGTTGTGCTTAATGACCTCGAACCAATTTTATGTGGTTATTGTGAATGAGTTGAATAAAGTTTGACTTATCTGTTTTGTCTTGCTTAATGTGCCTTTATAATCTGGTGCGCCTTATAGTCCAAAAAATATGGGTTCTTAAATTGCTGCTCTATGTTCAAATATGCATTTTTGCTTCAACACGCATAGTTTCAGTTAATTTGAGGTTTTAAAACGTGTCGTGTTACTATGAGACTGACAGTGTGACAGCCTGCGAGTCGAGAAGCCTCATGTTCCTATTGCGTAACTCCAAACACCCAAAAACAGGCATTTTGGCTTCCGTCCTGAACAACAGAAGGTATTGTATCTATCTTTATTAACATAGATAAGCTGTCTGCATAAAAGGCTGTCAATTCACTATTTTATTCCCTTTTGTAATACAGTATTGGAAAACAAACATGTTTTGGAGCTCCTAAAATGCCAATTCTGTGTGGATACATTTCTGAAAAATGAAGAAAAGAATTCTCGTGTGGACGGGGCCTAAAGATTTGAGAGAAACAAACTAGCACTGAGAAATATGAAACCATGCGTAACTTGTTCAATGCTGACAGACTTTAGTTTTTTAATAGCATCATGTTTTTTACAAAGTAAAACTCTGCATAAACAATTCCAGACATGCCACGAGAAAAAAAATATCAATTTCAAGCCAGAAAAAGAAAGTAGTGATATTATTTTATCAGCTCCTGCTGCTGTGTTCACTGCTCGAATGTAGACATGTGGCTCTATCAGTTGTTGTTGTTCATAATCCACCAAGAAGCTGTAATAAGAAACAACGTGTTAATGCTTTATGGTCTCTGCATGAGCCAAACAAGTCATTGTCCTACAATGATGTTAATACAGCGATACTGCAGCATATCACAGGAAAAATATTGGTTATTACGAGATTATAAGGAACCAGAAGTGTTTGGAGCTACAGTAAATTGTGCATTTTGTTTATCACGGTCTATTGTATTCAAAAGGAAGGGTGAGAAGGAGTTCCTCTGGTCATTTATGTTGAGTTTTATTTAGCGCTGCTTATAGTTTTACAAAAAAGATAAAATATTGAACAACTAGTTCCCTGGTAAAAGTGTTTTTTATTCTATGAAAAGTCAAAATTAAGGCTAACTTTTTTGATATGTTGCTAAACAAACCATTGGCAGGACTTTTTTCATTAACGTATTTAGAGTTAATGCAGTGGTTCCCAACACCGATCCCTGAGGAACACCATCCTGCATGTTTTAGTTGTTTCTCTGCTCCAACACACCTGATTCAGTGATTCAATTACTTCCTCAAGTTCTGCTGAAGCCTATTAATCATGTATTCATTCAAATAAGGTGTGTTAGAGCAGAGAAGCAACTAAACCACGCAGGATGGTGTTCCTCAGGGACAAGGGTTGGGAACCACTGGATTCTAAAGGATACCCTTGTTTATACTGAGCTGTTTAGATTGCTGCTGTTCAAAGTTGTGTTGTCAAATGGTAACAAAACTTCAAACAAATACAAAAAATCATTTTGTACAGATACAGGAGAAAATTGGAAAAATAATTGTCTTCTGGAATTTCAGTTCCGTTGGATACGTCAGGATTTTTCTTCCATGTCAAAATGTACTTTTCTTTTTGCTTTCCTTGAAACGTAACCATCCCTTGTCACTTTTCTTGTGACTTCAAAATGTTCAAGATGTCCAAAATTAGGCAGCATCCTCTGATTTGCTTCAATTTTACAAAAAGGCTAAAGCCGTCTCAACCTAACACTATACCTCAAACTTTCTTGCCTTTGCGATACTGAGGTTGCAGTGGAAAATCAGACATTAAAGGGATAGCCTGGTCATTTTTGAAGTAATGTTCTGTTTAGTTATTAATAGTTAGTACCTTTATCAGTCTTGGCTAGCCAAACGAGAGGCTGTTCGTTGTTTCTCATAAAACTTTTTTAAGAACATATAAGTGTGGAAAAAAAACCCCATTCTATTAGCTAATAATAAACTCTGCACTTTTGCATGAGCCTTGTTTAGTTTGTACGATAATATTGATAACTATTTAACAAAACATGACTTCAAAGATCACCAGACTGTTCTTATAAGCCAGAGGGGGATCTTTCAAGAAAATGTGTATAAAAATAAACCTCGTTAAAATGTTTTATTTCATCAGCATTTATCTACGATATCATTATTTTTACAAACTAGTGAATGAAATCTGTCTCTTTGGATGGTGATCATAAAACTTTTTTAACTCCTTCGGTTGTGGGAATGGATGTAAAAACTGGATTTCAGAGAATTTGGTCTGAAATTGTTAGTTAGGAATCACACTGATTGACATTAAAAGTGAATCTAATGTTTTTTAAAGAAATACACCAGGAACTTAAAATGACAAGGAGAGGGAGGATAAAATGTTTATCAACTGTCTCAGAATAATCCAACATATTAGAAATATTAATGTTATTTTTTTACGTGTAACTAAGTATTGAATTTTCAGCTTGTGTTGTTGGTTATCTACCTGGGAGAAGCATTGTGGAAACAATTTCTGGTTCTTCCAGCGAGTCACTAACGCAGCGCTGGAAAGTCTTGCTGATGGACGACTGCAGATAGCTGAGAAAAATCAGAGAAAAAATGTTTCAATGCACTTCAAAGGGACTTTGTAAGTAGCTCTGTGTCCTGGCTGTTGGCTCAGCTGTGCAAATCTCCATGAATGTTTTCTACGCTGATAAGGAGCATGCCAGAGCGTACCTCATCCAGGAGAGTCGGTCCTGCCAAAACTCATACATGATGAAGCATGATCTGTCTGGCAGGTTCTGGACTGAGACACTGCGAACAATGAAAACAGGCAGAGAAATCAAGAAAATGAGGGCAGTGGGAGTGATCGGTGGCATGTCTGGGGAAACTGAAGCAATTGGAAACAGATGAATGAAATTACAGAGGTCCTGATGCAAAACAACAACAACAACAACGACAGGAAGGAGAACGTACTGAAGGTTGTTCAGCTGGCTGGCGGTGGCATCAGTGTAGATTTTGAGGGCTTGTTGAAACTGCTCCACATCTCTCTCCTTCACTGACATTTGCCTCTGAACCAGAAGGATGTTCTGAAGACAAAAACGGTAAAATAAACAAAACACTAAAGCTGCAAAAAAAAAAAAAAAAGAAGCTAAATTTCAGTTTATATTTTTACCGTCACATAAAGGTCACTTGTAAATATGATCTGGACCTTTTGTCAATAATTAATATTTAATTGTTTGTCAAAGTTGTTCCTATTCCTCCAAATATAACAGTTATAAAACTGTTTGTTTATATTTGCATGATGGTTTTAGATCATAACTTTTGAAGCTGTAATCTACCGGTCTTTTTTTTTTTTTTTGATGTGGGTTAAATCGTCTAATGTGATTTACCACAACCATTTCTAGAACACATGATCAAAGAAGCAGTTCTTGATGAGGCGAAAAATTATTTTCCCCTCAAAAATCTGTACAAACACATTTTCTTTTAATGTGTTAGAAAGGTTGCTTGATTTAAAACCACCTCTAAAGCCTTTAATTTATTTTTTCCACCAAAGAGAACCACATATTCGTTTCTCTACCGAACCATAAACATGACAATTAAAACCTTTTATTCTTTGGCTGTGCGCGTTTTAGCAATGGCTGGTGAAGTTTCTAGTTGTCCTTTGTGTTAAACTGAAATCCCACTTCCTGAACCTCCGTCAGTCTTGATCAGAATCCTGAGAGGCTTTTGCTGCTTTGCTGAGCTGGATGTTTGGGAATCGTTATGGCGGCTTTGAAGACATCATTCAATTCACTATAGGAACTTGTTTCTTTTCTTTATGTGCAACTCGTTTTAAATCTTCAAAAACACAATACAAATGATTTGAACCACTTTAAAATGAATTGTTTTCACATATTTAAAACATACCACGCAACCTTCTGCACGTGAGACTCACCGACTTGTACGTTCCTGCCAGCGTGTCTTCTTTAAGAGGTTCAAGATGTGGACTCTGAAAAGAGAGCATCAATTTTTCATTTAGATCTCTGTCTCAAAACATAAACGTCATCATTTTCAAAAGAAGCTACTTTCTTTGCAATGTGACTAAGATCTCTTATTCACATACACACTGAATATTTTTGGAACAATAGATGTTTTTTAAATCGTTTTTTACGTGTTGTTTGAGGTGTTGGGTCTGATGATACAGACTACAGTCACAGGATGATACTTTTCATGTGGCATTCAGTGTCTGTTTATCACAGTTTGAGTCTGCATTTTGAACTAATCATTATTTCTTGAAGCACAGATGTTCTTGCCAGAAGGAAAACTTTTTATATGCAAACTCATACGGTTTAATTAACTCCCCCTTTTTTTAATGTTTGTAACACAGCTGCAAGCAAAACAAGTTGCAAGTTTTTATTTTTGATCAGGATCCCACACATTAAGAAACATTTTGTCTAAAAATGATGCAGAAAAACTGGTTCATGCATTTGCCACATCTATACTGGGCTGTTGCGATGGTTTATTATCTGGGTGTCCATATACTTCTTTAAAAAGTCTTCAGTTGATCCAAAATGCTGCTGCCAGAGTCTTAACTGGAGTTAGTGGGGAGAGATCATATCTCTCCAGTTTTAGCTTCTCTCCATTGGCACCCTGTCAAGTCCAGAATTCAAAATCTTACTTCTAAACTACAAAGCCCTCAACAACCTAGCTCCATCTTGTATTTGAGATCTTATTGTTCCATATTTTCCTAACAGAGCACTTGTGCATCTGTTCTTCTCAAACCCAGCCGGTCAAAGCAGATGGCCGCTTGTCCTGAGCCTGGTTCTGCTAAAGGTTTCTTCCTCATGAGGGAGTTTTTCCTTTCCTCTGTCGCCTTCATGCTTGCTCAAGATGAGAGTTCTGTGATGGAGTTAAATTCAAAGCAGTCTGCTCCTCAGATAAAAAGTGTTAACTTATATATATATATATATATGAATGTTTCTGTTCAGAGCCCTGAGATTACTTCTGTTGTGACTTGGTGCTCTGTAAATAAACTGAACTGAAATTGAATTGAAACATTTTATTTTCCCTCAGAGATCCAGAGGAAACAAATCATTCAGCTGAAAACAAAGGTCTTCCTGAAAAACTGACTTCAGCATTTTAACATCGCACCAGTAATGTGGCTCATTCGACTGGTACAAGTGGGATTCACTTTTAACGCTTAAAGTCTCCTTTTTTATAATTTCAGTAACGCAGGATAAATCTAATTTTTGTCTTTTTGGACCACCTTTACTGGGTACTTTAATTTAAAGGCTGGAGGGAAAGTGCCAACAAGGATTTACAAACCTCACACTCCATTTTGTCTTCGAATTGCTCCAGCTGGTTGATCTGAGAGCCCCAGTGGTTGTCTGGCTCCACGCTGACCCCTGACCCCCCGAAACAGAAACACAGCACTGACTACGTCAGTGGCAGTGAAGACATTCAGTACTAACTGCACACTAAAACAATCTTTTCATTTTTTTTATATTTTGTCAAAATGTGTTTGTTTTTGTACCTGTGGTGAGCATGCCAGAGTACGGGTCTGTAGGGGAGAGACACATGTTCTTCTGGATGCGTCTGCCGGGCCTTTTGGTCGCTCTTTGGATCGGCAGGTCCTCGGGCTTCTTTAGAATCCTCCTCCCTGCGCTGCCGTGGTCGTGAACAGCCTCCATGGCACAATCTAGAGAGGACTGGAGGGACTGAAGCTGGGTGGAGGTCTCCCTCAGCAGGAACCGCGTCACAAACTGACCCAGCACCGACGAGCCCTGATACTCCTGGAGGGAGGGAGGGTAAATATAAGGTGGAGGAAAAAGTAGGGACGTTGATTTTTTTTTTTTTCTCGTACGTTCAGAAGACAAGTTGAACAAGAGGATGCAACTAAATAAATTGGCGTATTTGAGCCTACTCAACTGCTTCTTTACTAAAACGAAGCACATAAAGAAAAGGGAAGACTACAAGGAGTGAAACACGTCAAAGGTTTGAGTCTGTTGTGGGAATGTTTGAAGCCAGAGGCTTTGATTGAACCAAACAAATGATGAAACATGAGCTTCCAGACAGAAATATGTTACTATTGTTGGAAAAATTAAACTGAATCAGAGATTTTCAGCAAAAAATGAAAAATACTGATGCACTGGTAGTTTATTTGCTGTTAGCTGCCTTATTCATTTAACTTCCTGCAGCACATCTTTCTTTGAAATCCACCCAAAAACAAAATTTTTAACCCATTTGAGGCAAGTTGCTGATGGGAAACATAGTGCAGTTTAGTTCACAACACTATAATTAGAGTAATTAAAACAAATTGCTCTATAATACATATGGCAGGACATTCTGGTAACAACAATGAAAGGTACAGCCTTATATTTGATTTAAAAAATAACAAAAAATAAAGTAAGTTAAGATTTCTGTTATTGTTACTGTGAAAGAAATTCATTAAGTTACAATTCAATTGCCAACAAGTTGGCCAATTTATTATATTTACTCTAATAAACAGGTTAAAATGGTCTATTATTGTATATTATTAATTGTCTATGCTACTAGATTGACGGTAAAAATTTTTTTTACTTAGATACTTTTAAATTGATTTTGGTTTCCCAAACCTAGAAATGACTCACATAGGCCTCCACTGTCCAGTGGTTAAACGTTTCGAAACGAGGTATAAACCAGGAAAAAAAGGCCCTCGTCATAAAAACTTGTTTTATTTTGTCCTATTTTGTTTTAAATAAAAGTCAGCACTTTATTACAGATATTAATTTCATATTATTCCATATGTTACTTTTTAACATCTAGCATTTACCTGTATTAATGTGTTATTGCTGTTTTAACTTTATTTTAAGTTTATCTTGCAGCTTTGGACAAAAAAAAAACAATTTAGCGAGATAAAGGGAAGGATTTTTCAAAATCATTATTATTGAAATGTTGCTGACGATATATGTTAAAAAGCTTGGCACCTTTACGTTGTCCTGCAGTGAGTTATGAACTGAAATTTAATGAAAACATTTGAGACAACTGAAATGTTCCTCTGCAGGGCTTAAATATGATAATATCTGCAAAACAAGCTTGTGTCTGATTTATAATGTAGTTTTAATGTGATGAAACCAAACAAGGTTGTCTAGCAATGTTCTCAAAATACTAAAAACCAACCAAGAAAACAGAAACTGACTTGAATATTTAAATATACTGATAAGATAAACAGGTCACTGCATACATTAGAATGAAATACTGAATCAAAAGCATGTAATATAAAACCAATCTATCAGGGGATGTTCAATATTTCCTGTACTGTGCTTGTGCTCATCATTCTTACATGCACCCTGTGGTGCAATAAGCAGAACTGCACAGGAACAATACAGAAACATTTAAAATATGACCACAAATCTTGTTTATGCAACAAAGTTCAGTTTTATTTGCCTCCGTTTCTCTTCCATTTCTTATTCAGGCAGAAAATAAAGTGAATGTGTCGTTTCATCTCACAGCAACACGCCAGTGCAGAAAATATATTCAAATCAATGATCTGTTGGTCGCATCATTGCACTTTTTATATTCCCGGGCATCATAAATCAATTTGGGTTGCCGTATATATGCCTGAAGATACGTATATGGCATCGTCTCAGCAGTTCTATAGATTCGGCTCATGGAGCAGTTTCTTTACTAACTCTGAAACCTAAAGGGCTAAAAAAAAACATCTTCTCTACTTCAGGGCAAATAAAGCTTTCTCACCAAGTAACAGCAACATGAAAAATGCATGAGCTGTAAGAAAGCATGTTTAGTAGAGAAAAGGGCGAAGAGAGAAAAGGATCAGCCTGAGAGACAAAGTTGGAGAAGGTTGATGCAGGCAGAGAAAACAGAAAAAACAAACCCCAGAGTGAAGAATGGAATTGGCTTAAAAAGGAATAAATGATCAATATGGGGCTGAGCTGCATTCATTTGGAGTTCAGATCAGCTGCATAGCTCAGGGGTTTATTAACATTAAGAACTTGGGTTTTCTATTAATACAGGGAAAATAAGTAGTGGAAAAGTACCTCATTACAACACAACAACATCTGTCTGTTCACAGTCCACATCTGGCTCTCGAACTTGTGACAAATCATAAAATATTCACCAGCTGGCTTAACTTGTTAAAGAATGGTTATTACTTTATGATTCAATCTTTGCTAACTTTGCTGCTAAGCTTCTCTGCCTGATCCACACCAGGATGATCAACCTTACAGCCGTGCTTCTCTTGGGCAGAAACATAAATCCCTCATAAAATCTCATCGAGCAGTTCGTGCTCAGCTCTAATGAACTGGGCCTTAGAAGGATTGCATGAAGATCTAATTAGCATGTTGCACAATCCACGGCTGTCGATTTCTAGGAAGAACAGAGTCTCGTTATCTTACAAAAAATAAATAGATCAAACTGTGGGAAAAGTTACTTTTTTTTTAGTACGGATGTGCAAACTTTTTCCTATCATGTTTAGAAAAAGAGCAATAACCAAACAAAGTCATAAAATCTGAAATATTCAGAAAAATGTCAGCTGATGATGCAGTCAATGCAATTTTTTATTTAAGATGGCGGAAACATTGCTCATGAAACTGATTTACATTTGAAAGCCAAAAAAATGCAGCATTACATGGTGGCAAACAACATTTATATTCTGAGAAGATGCTCATACGTTTTGCACATTTATTCTGTTAATCTCACATGACATTTAGCGCTGCAGGGCTGCAGCAGCAAACATCTGTGTGGGTTTATCTGTGTCTTTGTGTTAGCGCCTGATGAGCAAGTTGTACTGCACCCGTTACCAGGAGTCAAATGGCTCAAGCTCGAGCCTCCCACAGCATCTGAGGTTTAAAGGTAACGGATCAGGATATTTGATTACAGTTATATTTGTTCTCCGCAAATGTGAGGAGTTTCTGTTTATCTTTGCTGTAGAGGATCGCTGCTGGTTATTTATCTGCTTCTGGGGAGGTCGTGATGTCAGTCTGTGCCAGACAAATGTTTTTTTTAATGCAGCATCCCTCCAAATATACTGAACTGTTTAAATGTAATTCATTCATTGATCATGGAAGTGAATTCTTGCTCAGTGCTTGAATGTTTCCTTACCTCAGACGTCATGATCACCGTATAGAACGAATCACAGCTTTTATTTAAGTGCTCAAGGAATCCAACAATTGTGTTGTTTATTTACCATATTTTTTCGGACTATAAGGCGCACCGGATTATAAGGCTCACTGTCAATTTTTGAGAAAATTTAAGGATTTTAAGTGTGCCTCATAGTCCGAAAAATACAATATAATGTTTTTAGTAAAACTTATTATAAATTTGGTATCATTAATTTACCTTATTTCCTCACCAATACCTGCATTTTATACAATCAAGCAAAATAGGCAAGTAATCTTTGTAATTATGAGCTAGACAAGCTAAGAGAGGTTAAAATAAGGTCATGTAAGCAACGTTAAAATGAATTAAAATGAGCTAATGGAAGAGTGCTTTCTTGGCAGCTCAAAGGCACCCAGGGAACAGATGGGGGATTAAAGGTCTTGCTCAAGAGCCCACAAATGGGCAAATGATGCAGGTTAAAAACTTACCAAACCAACTCAAATCAGGAGCAGAAAGTAAGAACAAATGCATTTACAAGTCCTTTTGTTTCATTTTTGGGCCGAATTGATCTAAAACCAGATACGAGCAGACTGAACCCGCTGTGCAGTGGGTGGGTGTGAAATCCAAAGGTTTCCTGCTGAACTAATGCAGAGTTTTTACAAAAGAACCACGCAGTCAAACTGCAAATGTTCACATTATTATACAGTTCTGTTTTTATTCGTGAGAAGAGACACTAATCATAAAACTAACATAATAACTTAGCTATGTTTTCTGTTTAGCTCTTAATATTTATTTCCTGTTCCTATTTTTGTCGTTTCTTTTAGGTTCATTTGAAACATGAACTTAAAGGTGCAACTAAATAAACTTCATTAAACAAGGTAAACAAAAAATGTTGTCGAGGCAGCAAAGAACTACGCTACCTAAAAATATGAAAACGAAAAAATGGAGAAGAAAAAACACAAGGACCACTGTGACTTTATGAAAGACTAATGATAAACTGAAAAAGGAACTGAGGAGCGAGCATAGAAGGAGCTAAACCTAAACAGCAAACACCTCAGGTGATTAGACAGGTGAGAGTGGCAGACTGGAAAAAATGACTGAAGGTTAATTAAAGAGGAAATTATTGGGGAATTTTGGAGAAGGCTTTATGGATGTTTTTAACTATGGCTGAGAATGTTAACTGCCCATGAACCATGTGTTTGAGTTATAGCAGAGAGTTCTTTTCTCTCTCAGAGGGAGCTGAATGAGGAGCTGATTTGATCCTGCATGTGCAGCTGGCAGTCCAGTGACACCAGTCTGTCTGTGAGCTGGGAGAGCTGATAAACATATAAAAACAAGCCTCGCACACCGCCCGCGGCAGATTCTCGTGTTTGGTGTATACTTCTGTACATCTGTGTAACCTGTTGTGAAAATCTGTGTGTCGTTTTGTTTTCTTTGTGTGTGTTTGTCCTAAAAAGCAAAAACTTAATAAAAAATACTTTATTAAAAAAAAAACTGTTGTGAAAATCTGTCCTTGCAAGTAAAACCGGTAAAAAAAAACACTTCTTCTTTCATCAAGAGAGGCTTCTTTGAATAAGTAAGGTAAAAATGATATTTTTATCCAACAAAAATGACTCAAGAAGCACTAGGAATCAGAACAAGGCCTAAACTAGATTACTAAAATAAAACGACAGAGTACAAAACACTGATGGATGACAATCTGAACTGAGAGGAAAACACAAGTAACAGAACTCAAATAAATAATAGAACTAAATAAATACCAGAAAAAAACAACTACGACAAATTTACCTTGACGTTGATTTATTGGAAAGATGCTGCTTTGAGTAAATCAACAGAGATTCCTTCATGCTATGAAATTTTATTACAAGTTCTTGTCAGGCTCTGGAAAATTGTGCATTTCACACATTTTATCCCTGAATGTTGCAGCTCTATTGAGGATAAATTGCTTTCTCTCCTTTTTGCAGCCTGCTGGTAATGAACACACTGAACAAGTTTTTCACATCAAAAGTGCTGCTAAAATCTATTCATGGCTTTTTATTATAATAAAGATTTTTGAGTGCATGGTTGAAGAAGAAGGGCATAGCTAACAATAGGCCAAGGCAGTCATGCTCTGCAGTTTTTTTAATTTTTTTACCCCCACAACAGGAAACTGATTTGTAATGCTAAGAGCATGCCTGAACAAGAGAAGGACACTGCTGCTGTTAAAAGTCTTCAGATTTTTACCAAGTGCTGAAAGTCATCATCCATCACTTACCTCCTTAGTTTTATCCATGGCCTTTAAAATGGACACATTCAGCTTTTCCAGTGCAGACAGAACATTAACATATTCTCCCAGATGTGGAGAGAAGTACTCTGATGGAGAAAAACATCCATTTAGTCTGATGAGCACTGACTGGCGTTAAACACAAACAAATCTCCATGTGGTGGCCAGTATCATAAATACAATATATATACATTTTTTTTAAACATATTCATTTCTTAGCAATGAGGGTACAATAAAACAAGATGCATCCTTACCTGAGAGCTCATTTATGTCCAAGTTGCTGCGGAGGGATCAAAATGAGACAAAATGAGGGACAATGTTCAAACAGATGTCATTAAAAAGTTTTAAAACTCAGAAGCCCTATAAGAAAAGTCACTTTTAGCTCTGCAGACATATTCAGACTGTGGAGTAAAGATGTGAAGCTGTGAATTTATGTGACAAAGACGCTGCGTGAGAAATGGACCTTTATTCTTGTGAAAATGACTAAAGCTGTTCTAATCTGATCCTGCATCAGTTGGAGCTGCAGATGGGATGACACGATGACATCTTAGGTTAACCTTCTGACCTGTTAAATTCAGAAACATCCCTTTATAATACAATTTTTTTAATATATTTTCCTCTTTATTTTAGGAATTCATCGAGTTTTCTGAACATTTACAAGAAGGCTACAGTAAAACCGAACCTGATTGTTACTTATCCAACATCGTTGCTCAAACAAATTGTCTGTAATAAAAACCAAAGTTAAATCCACCAAATTACCAATAATACTGATTTTAAATGTTTACAGATTTTATTGTAAAGCTGTACTAATAAGCTCATATTTTAGAGCCCTAGGCAACAAAAGTGAATAATTTTTAATTAACATGAGCTCATTCAATGCAGAATGTGCTCCAGGAATGTATTACAATATTTTTATGTTTCTTTGGCAAAATAAAATGATGCAATTTTTGAGCCAAAGGCTGTAAGTTTCCCCTGATATCCTCTCTGCCAATTCTTCTTCAGCTGTCCATCTGTTTTAGAGATGGTGCTGTAAAGTACTGAACTGCACCCAGACTCACTCGCTTCTTCCCATTATTCATTTGCCATCTCTGTGAAAAACATCAGACTTTGCAACTCCTCAAAGTTCTTCGTATGGAGCCAATAAAGAAACACGTTAAATGAGACAGGCTACTGTTTCAGAGCTGAGAATATGCTGCTCATCAGTTTAACAAACATGCTGGAAGGCAGAGGGAAATAAAAGTTACTCTCACTTTTGAACAGTATGTATATAAGGTGTATAAGTATATACATTTTATATATATATATATATATATATATATATATATATAGATAGATAGATAGATAGATAGATAGATAGATAGATAGATAGATA